TATTTGAAATGAAGAATTTATTCACTTATAAACAACTGTAAAAGTACTGTGAAGAAATCTAATGATTAAATGTATCTAATTTATAATGATTATAAATGTTATCTAAATATATAATAACCTTAATATTGAATAGTAAACATAAATTGAAATCCTGTTGACAAATACGTTATAAAACTATTTAAGCAAGAATTGTTCGTATTGGAAAGCAATCTGTTAAAAGGTATTGTAAAGCAAATGCTATGAGATGCGCACTTAAGAACGTAATAAAGAGTTTTGGAATATGTATTGTTGAAATGAAGGGTAAAAAAAAAAAAAAAAAAAAAAAAAAATCTGATAAGTATAATTAAAAGAATTATTCCCTTTACATTTTATAATAACTCAGTTACAAGTTTTAAATAATACTTAAAAAAAAAACAAACTTTTTTAACAACTTGTTTTATTCCCTTTCAGAAATGTTCAGAGAAAGTCAAATACTATTTAATACCTATTTAATTATTAGGAATTAGCGAAATACTTATTTAAAGTATTTCTCTAATTCCTAATAATTCTCTAATTTAAAATGAACCGAATAGAGCATTAATTATAAATTGACTTACATTTTTCGATTTAAAAGAAGCCAAAAAATAATGTCATATTTCATATTTAAGAAAGTATTTAGGAAGAAGCTCTATAAATAGAAAAGAAATAATGCATAATTTTAATATTAATAATACAATAAACTTTGATCTTAATTTTTGTACCTTAACCGAATAAAATCGAATTACCTTAATTTTTTTTCTAATGTAATTAACGAAAACTTGTGAAAATATTTCATTCAAATTAAACCATTCTGAGAAAACTGTCCTGTGAAAGTATAGCATTTAATTCCGTTCAGAATGAAATGTTGTTTAAAAATATGTTGTTTTTCACATACTTAGGACTCTGAAGTGTTGTAGAAAAAGAAAATATATACATTTATATGTATATTTGCGACGTAATTACAAAATATTTACACCCGAACGCGTCAAATCTCATAGAACTCAATGATAAATGACCCAATGTTTTGGTCACCACGTAGGGATCGCCGGTGCTTCAGAGCAGGGTACGGAGAAACTTGTTTAGGGCGACTCCTTCTTACTTCCTACCTCCATGGCCTTCAGGTGTGGGTAGGGAGACAGGTTCAAAGCATTAATCTGTAGGTGAGAAATCCGATGATCGGCTAAGATAACATGCTCTCATGTCATACTTAGCGACCGATTTTTTTTAATGAAAAATCTAATTTTTAAGTATTTAAAATTCAGACTTTAATGAAAACTCTGTGTAGACTCTGAATTTTATACGTTCGGTATCATCGTATTTTATGCACTTTGTTCATTTTTGAACCACGACCAAATTATTTTACATACCGCATAACAATACAATACGGTCATTAGAAGTTTTTGAAACGTGTTGCCACAGCACATTGCTTACAGTGTACTTAATACTTTTGTTTTAAATTCAGAGTTCTGCAACGCGACAGCAAGTTCATTTTGGAAAAAGGTTGCATTTTTCAGTCTATTCTAAGAAAAACAAGAGCGTCAGTACAATGGTAATTTGACTAGTTTCCTCATGCGTAATGCGAATACGAGCCTCAGTTAGAAAGCCCCCTACGAAGGGATTCTTCCTCTTAGTCGAGATAGCCCTCGAGAACCTTGCCATATTATAAATAATTTTAAGAAAAGTGAAGTGTTTAATGAATTATTCGCTAGGTCCAAGAAACTTTTTTAATTATAATCGAATTTCTTTTTCATACACTTAGCTCATACAGCCTGAACAGTGCTTGAATAATTTTATCAGTTAGAGATGATAAAAAATAACATTTTTAACTTTAATGAAACCGGAATTTTAAAGCACATATATTTTCGATTGGATATACCGCATTTACTCAAAAATAATACGTTTCTCTTTCCGTCATATACATATATATATATGTATATATATTTGAGTTTAACAAACATTCTCATTTCGTAAAAAGCAAATTTAAAATTAATTAAATTTTAAATAAGGAAATTTAATGCAAACAAATAAATAATTAATTATTGCTGCGAACTAATCTACAATATCATTTAAATTCTGAGAGCATATGTAAACCAAGTGCAAGTATCTTAAATTCTGAGAGCATATGTAAATCAAGTGCACGTATCAACATCGCAGCAATAATTAATTATTTATTTGTTTGCATTAAATTTGTAATTTTAAATTTGCTTTTTACGAAATGAGAATGCTTGTGAAATTCAAATTTCATTCCTTGCAGCAATGGCGAAAGAGAAGTATTTAAATTTAATTTAACTTTACTATTTATTCTTTTGAGACAATATATATATACTTTCCCCCCTATAAAAAGGTTATTATTAGCGGGTATTTTGACAGATAAAATTACAGAATGAGAGGGCGTTTAGTTATATTATGCAGCATAATTACGCTATTTAGGTACTAAGCAAACCACACCAGTAATTAGCGTATATATAGACTACATATAAATACTGCTAATTATAAGACACGTCTAGCTGAACAATTTCCTTTTTGGCCTGCATCCCATATACCGATCATCTGTATGATTGAAAACAAAAACTGACAAGTATATCACTATCTTCTTCTGTACAATAGTTAATTATTACAATTAATTAAGTGACTTACTCGTCTTCCTACTCAGAATGTGTTGCTTGCTTGCTTTCTTCAAATCATCATCTACAATTTTATTTATTTATTTATTTGTAATTTTTAAGTAAATACTGCATTATTATGTTTCTAACTCGATTATTTTTACCATATTTTATCATCTCCAGTTGCAAAGCAAAGAATTTAAGAAATTTTTGCATTATTTTCTCTCCGCCTTTGAGACAAACAGATTTTTGTGAACTAATGCTCAAATTCTTCATTTTTCAAATATTTTATTTTCTAATGAAACAATTACCTATAATTATTCTACATTTAAATATTATTTAGGTAGGAATTAATAAGGATATCTGGTGAGGATCAATTTTTTATTGTGAGGGAGGGGCTTAAAAGGTGGGCCAATACAGCTTCACAACTTCCCACCCCGACCGACACGATACAGATGGCGCAACCGCAGTCCCTGAATCAACGTAGGCTGGTTCTCATGGCGTGCCACATTCTAGGATTTATCGCTTCTTTCTAGTAACTTCGAGCGCCAAAGGAGGGATACCTCGTTCAACAACGGATGTTTTAGGGAGGTAAGGGGTCGAGCCTCAGGTTTGCCAGTCATGAGCTGAAGCGGCGATTAGGAAATCGCTGTATTTAATTTAATGTAAAACATTCTTTTTTCCCCCCTCCCCTTTTAAAGCGGGCGGAGCAGAGGGGGGGGGGTATTTTGTCTTCGCGTAAAGAGTGAAGTGATGACATACTCATTTTAAAAATCGGGCAATAATTTATACGAAGCTCAGTTGATGGGTTTCGTGATTTATGCATTTAAACAGCCCAAAATGTTATTATTTTTAATTACTGGATCACAGCCGTTTCTCGTCTAGTCATGCTGCAAACATAAAGAAAAACAAATTTGTTACAGATATCAAATGTTCATTTATTATGTTTACGCTATTCATTAAAACTAGACTTTGATATACCCATTACGATTGAATGACTTCTCGTCTTAGCAAGAAGTTACTAGTAACTCTCATGCGAAAGTTTAAATTTGTTAATTTTCGGTAAATAAATAATCTCTTCTCCTCCAACGAATGTTGTGTGTATTAGTAAGCACGTATACGATACATAATTAAATAAAAAGAAATCAAAACGTGCAATGAAAATAAAAAGAGATGAAGTCTAAAAAGCGCAGTTTATTTTGTAGGTAGCTTTAGTATCATAATTATGAGTTTACTTTTTAAACAATGAAAATGCAATTACTGTTTAATTCGTCAAGTAGTTGAATTTGATTGTATATGCAATTCATTTTCTTGAGTAAGGGGTGTAAAATCCGTTTCCGTTTGTTGGGAAGACAAAATTTCAGTTTTCGAAAAAAAAGAAAATTTTCCCCAAATTAATTGAATACATACTTATGAGTTCTAAATATATTGAGAGATATAGAAATGAATGAGTTTTAAGTTGTAATTAGATGTTGGTCATTTATTACTTGAAGCGTGCAAAATTTAATCGCATATTTACTTGCATTTGTATTTAAATAAAATACAATAGTTTTTGGTTCATTATCTTGATGTTTTACATTATCTGTTAATTTGATTTTGACAAAGCGCGCGAGGGCTATCTGCCTAAGGGGAAGGATGCCGTCGTGGAGAACTTTCTAAAGGAAACTTGCTCGTATCTACATTACATAAGGAGAAAACCACGGAAACACCCATGGAGGCAGCCCGTTCTCCTGGAATCGAACCCACTATGCATTTCGCGGAATTTGTGGCGTTATTTCTTTTGAAGACCATCTAAAATGCTGCTTGTTAGCACGAAAATATGTATGCATTTGGTACATTTTGTAAAAAGTAACTGATATCGCATTAGTAATAAAATTAAGTATCTAAATAAAGTATTTAATTTTATTACGTAAATTTTATTACTAACGCGAAAATGATGCGCTTATTTTTATTTTATTTATTTATTTATTTATTTATTTATTATTTTTTTTTTTTGTTATGATCGCAAATTCAAATCCGATATCAAATTTTCTTTCTGCTTTAGTTGTAATCCTGTAAGAGTTATCGTCATATTAAATTGATTTCCCTGTGCGTAGGTAAAAATAAATAAAATAATGAAATATTTCATCGAAGTAATGCATTGAAATGTCAGTTTTCAAAAATTTTTTCATTTCATTATGGAATGCTGAGCATTTATTATTTTTTTTAAACTAATCCAAGTTAAGTGTATCTTGTTTGTGTCGAGAAAAACAAACAAAGGGAAGGATTTGGCGAAGTTTTGGCTGAATAATTATGCGCCCAAACTGTTTTACTTGGCGCTTCGTTCAAAATGGCGTTTTTCAGGCTTGACGATTTGGCAGTGCGTGGAGGTTTCGAGTTTGCAACCCTGACGTCCAATGGAAAACAGGCCCCGATTCTTACAGGAATCGGTTTCTCGTATTTGCCAAAATTTTCCGTGGCCGCAAAGTATGTGTAATGTGTTTTAATCGCTCCTTCTGGCTGAAGGCTTATGCTATTATAACTGAATGAATTATAATGTGAACTGAAAATATGGACCTGGATGTACTTAGGCTGTTTTCAGCAGTCCTCATTCTCTGTATCCGTCAATAACTAAGCACTGCCTTTTTTTGAAGTGCACAAAGATAGGCTGTAAACTTGACGATAGCCTCGCAGAATATTATTTTTCGATGTAAATTATTATAGAATGATTTTAATCTAAATAAGCCAAAAAACAAACAAACAAACAAAAAGTGAACAGCCTTTATGGCTTTCGGATAAATAAGTGAAGGATGTCCAATCTTACTGGAAAGTAAGTTTTGCCACTTTGTTTTAATTTAATTTTTATTTTGTTCATGGTTATTTATATACATTAGCATATTTTTTTGAAAATTTTTTAAATTCATTAAAATTTTTCAGTTGTTTTTAAGTGTATGTTTGTTTCGGAGATAAATAGGAATTTAATTTGTAGTTTAAAAGCAAATACAAAGCCTTCTAAATAACTGTGTTCTCAGTGTTGTTTACTGTTTTCTCGTTAAATATTGGAGTTAATTATTTCCTATAATATTTATAACTGAGTGTTCTTGTTAACTAAATACCCAAAAAATGACTGTATATATTTTTAAATACAAACTTAAAATGATTTAAGATATCGTTACTGAAATTTTAAAATGTGATTATTTGATGCAACTTCTGCCAATAATGGTGGCTTGTGGTATTCTTAATATGTTACAAGATGTTTTTATGTTGACGAGCATGTATATTATTTACTACATAAGTGAGTTACAACATGAGCATAAAATTAAAGCAGTATGTCAATGTGTCTTCACCGAAATTCGATATTTTCGTAATTTTAATCAAAATCTACATTAAAACAGGCGTTTTTAGAAGTAGAAAGATTATTCTCGCTAAGAACTTACCAGTATAGTTTTTGTGAAATCTTTCGCTGAAATGTAAGACATCGAAAATTAAGGCTAAAATTTAAAACAGATTAGTTTGTTTAGTTAAATTTCGCAAAATAAACAGCGATTTTGGAAATTCTATATTTCGATTGTTAGAATGAAAGTAAAACTGATTATAGATGCTTGAATGATAAATTTTGCGTAGTTTAAAAATTTAATAGGCATTTTTCTCGATATTAAGTAGAACTTAATAGTTGCATCGCATCCACAATATTATACTTCTACATTCTGAAGTTTGATGAGGTAGTAGCACATTCTGACGGGGGTGCATAAAATTTAATAATAATCCGCATTACAGTCAAATATTTAAGAATTTTTTGTGGAATGATAGTTTTGAATTTTCACTCGTACGACAAAAAAAAAAAAAAAAAACTATGATGCAGTTAAAATGAGTTTTCGTCTGTTTACAATTCGTTATGCCGCAGAGATATTTTAAAAGCCATAACAAATATGGCGTTACAACTTTTCCTGAAACGTTCTTACATTAACATATGCCAAAGGAAGAATAGCGAAATTAATACATGCCACGCATATTTAACCACGTACATGTTTCATTCAAAGTTGGAAGAAAAAGCACATCGGTATTCAAAGGATGCCGAAACGTTGCGATCTTTTTCCGCATTGAACTGATAAAAGTCAGCCGACGACTACCGTGTACCCAGAATAAGTATTAAAAATCCTGTTTATAATCTCTAATAGCCATTTTGGAAGTAATAAATAATCACTCTTAAGGTTGCTAACCTCTTCCCTCTTTCTGAATGAATACAAAAACTCAGATATTTCTTCTTTTCTGCCTATTTTTTTTTATTTGAAGAAGAATTGTATTTAGAGGTAGAAAAACTCGTTTATTTGCGGAAGTAAAGTAAATTTCCCACCTGTAAAATCTAATTTTACTTTTATGAACATTGAATGAAACATGAACAATTTCGGAAATTCTGTATTTTGATTACAGAAGGAGTCTATTTGTTCGTATAAGGGATATCTTCGGTATATTCCCTAAAGTTATGAATGCAGATTTATCATAATTTGCAGAGCTTGCATTTGATATTAATATACATACTTCAGATAAGATATTGAAATCCAAGCATCATAGTGAATTATTTTTAATGTATTATTTCTATGTTAATGGCTATGAAAAGAAAAGTCACTGTTTTCATGCTTAAGTGATTAAAGCTGAAAAGTATTAATACTATTTTTCATAATTTTTTTTGATTTTTTCCCCCATCGAATAAATGGAAACAAATTCTGAAAAAGATTATATGACATTATTATACAAATGTCATAGTGTAACTTATTCAAAAATAGAAAATTAGGGAAATGGCAAAAGATACTATTGTATAGTTAAGAAATTGAGAAAATAAGTAAATACTATATGTTGACAGTGAATTAATAGTGAAATCAGATGAAATAACTAAAGTTCCTGTATTTAAAACAGTCTCTTAATAAATAAATGCCCTTTCTGACCGACTTCGCTTTCACATCTGTTAAATAAAATTTTTTATTTGTTATTGGAATTCCCTGTTGAAAAACAATAAACTAGTATCTAAAAGATATGTCTTTCCGTAGACTTCTGACCTTCTTGCTCTAATATTGTCTATTTTAAATATCATTTAGTACCTTTAGCTAGAAATGCATTTGTTTAAGTTTTCAAATCTACTTTGTATTTTGGTGATCTTAATTTATCAGATCTGAAATACTTTCAACTGTGTATATTTATTTCCAAATTGTATCCAAGAAATTTTAATAATTTCTGTAATATGCATTGAGAGCATTTTTCAATCAGAAATATGATTTAAGTTATTGTTAATTTGAGCAGAGTATTCTTTTGATTCAAAATTGATCTTATTAATGATAATAAATCATAAGTACAAGATAAACTACATAAAATCTAAGCTTGCTGAATATTAATTTTGGAGTTAATTTAATTATTAAAGATTATCTAAGAATATTTTACTCTTGTAACTTGTTAAAATTTTTATTTTCAGCTATCGGATACTAAGTGGAGAGGTGCAAGGGTAAGTGTTTTTAAATCAGCTTTATGTATATTTATATAAATGTTATGTTAAATTAGAACTGAATGGGTGGTAATTATAGCTTTAACTATGTACTGCTGGTTTTGGGCTTGATCAAAGCTAATTACCTCACAAATTTTGTTATTGGACTGCTTGGGTAGTGGGAAAACAGTGTTACACAGGCTTACTGTTACTTTGGTTTCTGTGGAGCAGTCAATGGTAATGTTTTGAATATTTGCTGAGGGTAAGCTTTCTTAGTATGCAGGAATCATCAGCACATTAAGTGTCAGGTAAGCCCAATTTTATGGTTAAAATGCATTTTTAAGTAATTGCAATTTAAGCTGGCTTTTGCTACTGCATTATTATAGTTGGACAGAAGCTTTTGTAGCCAAGACAAAATTAAATAGTTGTTACTTCAATATAATAATGGGTAACAGTGTTGAATTACACTGTTTTGTTATTTAAATACAGAAACAGGAGATACAAAGCTAATTCTATAATGTCATTAAAAAAATAATAAAAAAAAAAAGGGGGTGGGAGCTGAAATTTCAACTTTTAGTTGAAGAGTATTTTGTAAATTTTGTCTCTCGTGAGTCATTTCAGTTTTACAAATGCTGATTTTACACAAACACATGCACAAAACGAAGGTATCTCAGTGAAATTCACTTTTCTTCTATACCTCTGAGATTTTTACCAAAATAGTAGCTTTCGTGATTTGATGTAAACGTGATTTTTTTCTTACTGTACAATTTCATCCGATTTCTTTATAATGCTGATTTAAGACTGGAGATTTACTAAAAGATTAAATGTTGTTACACTGTTCCCTGTCTTTGGAATCCAGTATTTTTAGTAAGAGATTAATGGATTTTATGTATATTTTGCATTAAAGTAATTAAATACTGATGCAGAACTGCCCCACATTTGCAATGAATAATTTTTATAACTAAAACTTTAGCATTTGTAGCACTGTTCCCCTGCTACTCCAGAGGCAAGATTTATGCAACTTTATTTTCGAATACCATGCTTTTCACTTTACGTTTTTTTAAATTCATTGAAGCATTTTTTAAATATTTTTTAACTCACGTGAATTTTTAAAAATTTATTTTTAAAGGTACTTACGTATTAGGGCAACTACCTTAGCAGAGTCGCCAGACTTTCAAAATATACGAAAATGTTAACTACGCGCATAACAATTATTCAGGCAACCATGGAGCGTATGACAAATACTGTTTCCAACATTGCCATTTTCGTATGCGTTCTTTTGCAAGTCCCAAAGGCTTTTATAGAAAAGATATGAATTATTTTTTTTCTTAAACACGATTTTAAATTTCGTGCTTGTGGGGTTTTCCTGTAATAAAAGAACAGAAATAAAATTTTTGCGGCAATACCGTATTTTGCCGCTAAATTGCTAAAGGATGGTTTGAATAATCTCTTTTAAAAGCGACATTTCTACAACAAAAACAAAAATCCGATTGTAACTAGGTTTATTGACTGTTTTTTGGTTTTGCAACTAGGTTTACTAACTGTAAATGTATAGTTGAAAGTAAAATATGTAGGTATGTAATATATATATATATTTTTTTGCAATAAAAGTTATTGCTCATTTTCTTCCGTAAAATTCGCCAAATTGTGCGATAATGCGTGAGTACCGATTTAAATTGTCTAAAAGGTTTTCTTCTTCTTCTTCTTCTTTTTTTTTTTTTTTTTTTTTTTTTTTTTTTTTTTTTTTTTTTTTTTATTAACAAAATTTAAGCTGATTTTGAGTATGGTTGCGAAATATGTAGTCTAAATGACAATATAACTACAAGTAATCCCACCAATTTTCAAAGTTAAGGTCTGGAGCACTATTAAAAATCGATGAAATGCGAACCCCGTGTTTTAGTTTGCAAATGTACTGCAAGTTTTGGTCACCGAAAGACATAAATAGCGCATTAGGTCTGTACGTAATGCAAACCGAAATTAATGCAGTTGAAATATACAAGAATACTAAAAAAATGGTGGGGAGGAAGGCCAATCTTTAAGCATGCAAAGCATGACGAAATAAAATCAAAATACGCATCGATTGTATGGTTTTTTGTTGTGAATGAAATGGTCAAAATGTGAGACCACATAAAAGAAAGCCATATCTTTGCTTAAATGAGTTTTCTATGTGCAGAACAAGCTAAAGACAAAGACACGTGCCACTGTTTGGTAGTTTCTTTTCACGCCTTAATAATCAGCTTTAATTACTAGGTGACTAAACTGTGATTGTTCGTATAAATTTGCCTTCATTTGTCTTCAGATTCTTCACGTGTGTTTATCTTATATATCTGCCTAATTTAAGTCTTAGAATCGACATAAGTTTTGGTCTGCCTCATTTTGAGTGTATTACAGCAGAAATTAATTACGAGTGTAGTATTAAGAGTAGATAAGACTCTGTTAAGGTTTAAACGTTCAAATAAATATAGTATAGAGAATTTTCGCAAGGGATATAATTTTTATTCTTTTAGTTTCAGCTGCTGGAAATCAATGTATTTTTCTCTCATAGTAGGCAAGCTCCTAGTCTCATAGTAGGCAAGCTCCTAGTCTCGTAGTAGGCACGCTCACATTTTTCCTGGAGCATATACAGGGTCATCATTCAGTTTTTATATTTTGGAGTTGCAGGAAACTGATTAACGAGAAGAATAAAGCAAAATTTTAAATACCAAGAAGAACCAACTACAACTCGAAACAATTTTTGGATAGGTGCCAGACTGTTGAAATTAGTCATTGAATCTTTTGATGGATAGTTCGGAAAACAGCGCACCGTAAGTTCCGCTTGCACCCGGAAAAATTGCCAGTAACTAGAATTTCTCAGATTCATAGTCTTTTGCAAGCGCACTTCAAGGCTGTTTCATTCAAACTTCAAATCCTAAGATAAGGCCATTATTCTTCCCTCCCAAGGGGACAAATGTGTGCATGCGGTTGCAAGCTATTGTATATCACGTATGGGGTATCCATTTAGGGATCTGGATGATAAACAAATAATACAACAATGCATTCCACAGAATGGCTGGAACAGAACTGTTCAGTGGAAATTAAAACGTGCAGTGGACATAGAAAACAGCACTATTTGGAAATTCAATCTTTAAGATGTGTTCATAAAGAGAGTTAGTTATTGGAATATGGCAAATAACGCAATGGCTGTCTGCCTACAGAAAAGGGATGCCCTTGCAAAAGACTTTCTAAGGGCAACTGGCACGCATTCATGTTTCACATTAGGGAAAAACCACGAATGATTGGTTTTAATCATGCGGCCAGCTCATTCGCCTAGGCAAGAACTTTGATTACATTCCCCAATATTCAGCGGCTTTAAGTACTCGGCCGCTGGTGCTGCCTCATAAAGACAAAGGTATAAACCTTTTTGGTACTTTTCCGTTTCGTCGGCGCAAATCTCGCCAAGTAGATTTTATTGGCGACAACATACAGTATGCACATAAAAAATATTAAAAAAATGTTAGTTCTAATTTTTTAATTTCTTATTTTTGAAGGCATAAACTATTTTAATATCGCTTTAAAATTTTAAAAAGCCAATAAATAAAGACCATGAAATTTGTAAAAAGACAATTAATTTAAGAATTTACTATGCTTTCAATGGTTCAACATCCTGATTCGCCGTTTCATATCACGTGAATCCCAAGTGATCTTCATCTCACATAAACTACTCTACAAAAATCTAATGCTCTTGACAGTAATTTATCTACAATTAATTTCAAGTTAAATCTTGATTTGGAACACAAGCTTAAGTGCAAGAAATATTTCAATTCATGCGAATAGCTTACTCATTACTCAGAATTATGTAAAACTGCAGTGCTTTAATTCGCTAATGCATTCTCATTAGAATTGATGAATTTAACCCTTGACTTTACGTTTTCTATATTTTCGGCTTCGGGTAAGCGCTGTGATTGCATCCTAATTGACTTAATTACTGAAAGTGGGCTTAGACATAAAACTGAACTATCTGATAAAAATTATATGTAATTATATGCCAGTATTGAAAGAAACAATCAATCTGATAAGAAAAAGCTGCGACTTGTTTTGAAAATGAGGCGTAAAAGATTACCAGAGAGAATAATCCATTTGGCATCGGTTGTACCATTATTGGCGACTTCATCGCTTGCGCCGGCAAAACGGAAAAGTACCACCTTTTTACTCCGTGAGAATGGACACCTCTTTTTCTTCCAAAAAGTGCGAAACAGTTACATGGGTGAAATGTCATTCCCACTGTCTTTCTTCCTAAAGACCATTTCTAGCCATTAGAAAAATATGGGCACTGATAGCAGTAGAACGGGGATTCACTCTTGCAGTCAATCTCGGTATTGGCGTTTAGATTTCATGATTGAGCAACTTCGGGCTCTTTTGAAGCATGGTATTAAGAATCAGTCAATGCAATGCTTGTGAAAACAATACTGCCAGTTCGGTCAAAGTACTACGCAAAAGTACACCTAACTGCAGCTCAGAACTTAAATTGCAAATGTTAAAAATATGCCACAATGAGGGGTATTGATGCCGCAATGAATTGAATTTGATTACATGTTAAGAGGAAAAAATATTACCAATGACGATTTTAAAAAATAGAGCCTTTCTTGAAAAAACAAACTATCTGGAGGCTCCACGGATAGTGTTAAATTATGTAACATCGTATAACACAAAATCATTTAAAAAAATTAAGATAACAAAAACAGTATAATTAATACAGTTATTTATATACTCGATTTTAATAAAAATAAATTCCTTTTTTTCCTCTCTTCAAAAACTATTTATACCACACAGTTTTTTTTACCACTCCTATCTCGATTTCGAACTTTTTGAAATGTGATGGTCTTTTTCCCAAGTAACGATATAATGCACACTTTCTAGAGAAACATCTATATTGATTGAAAATAAGGTTTTACTAAGTTTTTAGATCTTAAGCTTCAAGTTAAAACCAAATTTGCATTATATTTTCGCAGAAATTATTAATGCCGCGTGCTATCAAAACTGCA